ATGAATTAATCATGTTTGCTGGTTATGCAACTTTATGTTTATATGTGGTTGAAATTAATGGCTTAAAGCTGAATGAATGCACTACATTGACAAGGCAAGAGTCCACTCGTGGTTTGTTTAGTAAGTAAGTGATATTAAGATAAAAGTGCTGTTACAGCTGTTACAATGTTTTAAATATTTGATGAATGAAAAGATTCATTTGTCACTCTGGGTGTTTATTCCTTTGGTTCTTAGCATGCAAATTTCTTTGACTTAATGCCATAGCTGTTACTTCTTCACGTTCTGACAATAACATGATGATATTTTTAACATTTATAAAGTGTAATTCTTACACATTTCTCTTTTTGAACATCTTCACACAAAGCCAAGCAGTTGACTCTGAACTAACAAGCTACTGAAATGTTACTAACAACTATCTGCAGGCAGACTATCCAGATAAAGCATTACCATTAAATGTTCTGTCACAGATTGATGCAGATCTTATTAACCTCTATAAACAAGGTGTGTTTGACGCACGCCTGCTTTCACTGATAGCAACAGCAGTTTAATTTAGATAGCGTAGTTAGCAGGAATGTGGTTGAACCCAAACACGTGATTCAGATAGAAAGACGTCACAGGCCAGCTCACACTGTTTGACTTACAGGTGGTCTCTGGGATGTAGAGAAACACTGCGCTAATGAGTGCTTAGCAACAAGGGGGGGGCTGCTGTTGTCACTATAAGATGAGATCAGTTGCAGCATCATGAAGCCAAAATAGACCAACCGAACGCAACCAAATGATTGATTTTATATCTTTTCCTTTTCAGTCACTTTAGAGAAAAACTTCCTGCAAAGATTCTCGTCAGTCGATCAGAGCCTCCCTTTGACAGCGTCTGGTCTTCTCCCCCCCAGGCTGCTCCATCAGCTAATAAATATCATCTGCTCCCCATCCTGACCATCAACCCCCCAAAAACCTCCCAACAGCCCATCTCTCTCTGGCCACCATAGGGGGTAAACAGAGACAGATTTAAATAAATGCAGCCATGGGGGACATAGCCTATCATATTTCAAATATACTATTAAAATGACAGCTATAAACTGTAGGCTGAGTACTTTGATTGAACCGTCTAAACTCATAGGGTTCCCTATGGGACCAGAAACGTGTTCTTTTATAGACTGATGCAGAATAAAGTTGTCAGAAGATGAATCAAACAAATCTATCATGCCAGTCTTGCCCGTTACTAGCTTTTGACTTTTGCTAAGTAGTCATGGAGAGGGAATTGCTGACAATGCGAGCTCAGTAGCTGTTCCACTTTTAGGACTTCTCATCTTAGCGTCAAAGTTCATTCTTGACTTTCAGAAAAAATTTGGAATAAACAAACCCAGCTTATGGTCCACGTGCTGTATTAGCTTTTTCCGGAAGAAGACCAAAGACTATGTTGAGACAGACTTTCTTGGACAATTAGGAGCATGATCAATCTGGATCAACATTCAGTCAACATTTACCTGTTGAACTTTTCAGGCTTACAAAAGCCAAACCAGCTCAGGCAAGCAAGATAAGGGACTTAAATTAGTAAAAGACTTAGTTAGCTGTCGTTCTGTGTTATAAATGCAAAAGAGGAGGTTTACACAAATTGGTGAACTCTGTAAGTGTAACTCATTAACTTTAGGCAAGAGGAAGCACTTACCTTTAAAGACACCTTCTGCTTCTGTAACAGTGGGTACATTTTTGGAGCTCTGTTTTCTCTGGAGCTTTGAAGATCTTAGTGCTTTTACAACTCTTATGTCAAAGTGCTGATAGCCAGACACTGTTTACGACTCGCAAAGTCTCCTGATTAGCTTTCTGCCTTATATGGCTAACCTCTGTACAGCTGAGTTTGTAGTTTCTCACAATCCTTTTCTACAGCTTCTCTTTGCGCCCATCACACTGTGATTGGTGAGAAAACCTTTTGTTTTGAAATGTCTCCACACTCTTCTTGTCAGAGGAGTGTAACTTGCATTTCCAGGTGTCTTTTGTGTGGTTTTTACCACCAAACAACCCCCCCAAGGTATAAATGAACCGAACTCAAGGATGATTTGCCAAAGACTTTGAATTAACCACTTCAAAACCTGGCGAACATTGAGAGGTCCTTTCGGCTCAACAGAGAATCTTCCAGGCGGGGTTAAACCTCGGCCGTTCTTTGTACTGAGGTGACATTGGCCAACCGCTGAGCCACCAAGCCGCCCAATTAGGAGTCTTGTGTTCGGTGGAGGTGAGATTTGTGTCTCTGAGCTTTCAGTTCCAGCTTGGTAATGTTGTTAGAGTCCGTCTTTACCAGCTGACAGGGTCTTGGAAAGGTCCTGGAGGGTCCTGGAAAGCTGCCGACTTTGAGAGAACTAATCTGGAACGGTGTTTATCTCCCTGCTGACACGCACACCTTTCTGTCTGTGGATGTCTCTCTGCCTTTTTCTGTTTTTGTCTCTCATCCAAACTCTTTCTCTTTGTGTCTCCGTATCCTTCTTTTCTTTATTTCTGACTATTGTTGCTTCTAGGAGAAACACACACTCTGAGCATAAAAGCAGACACACACTTCTTTTCTTTCAGTGTCTTCATGCTTCTCTTTCCTGGGTTGTCTTTCTTTTCCATACATTTCTTTTTCACTTGTTCTCATATATATATATATATACACTCAAACACACAGTCACTTTCAAAAGTTGTCTGTCAGTTTTTTCACATAGCTGCTTTTCCTCTCACACAAAACTCACTTGTGCTCTTCCCCATCCCTCTTTTGTGGCTCATGTGTCATCATCAGATCCCTTAACCTCCTACTAATCCTAATTTTTCAACCCAAAAGTCTTTAAATTTGCCATTTCTTCTCTTCTTTCTTTCGTCCTTTTTATTGGCCGGGAGGAGGAGGCGGAGGGGGAAAAAGAGGGAGAACTATTTTGAGTGAGGTCTCTATGGAAACAGAGTAGCAGCAGCAGGGTACTGAGGCTGACGGCTCGGCTCGATGGCAACAACGCATAATGGCTTTAAGTTCGAAAGGGGTAAAGCTCCTGCTTCTCCTCTTGATCACCTCCTCGGCAATAAAAGCCACCATTAAGGCAGCTTGTCATCTAGCAGGGGATGTCATGCATGTTTGTTTTATATTAATCATCTTTTTCTTACTTTTTCTCACTTTACCTGTGCATAGCAGACGGTAATTAAATCACAACTGCCACTTTAACAGTCTCCCTCCTCAAACTCATTTTCAAATCTTAGATCTTTAGCAAAAGAACTAATGTGTGTCAAGAATAGAAAGCATGTTCTGCTGGGTGATTGCTACGGTAAATATAGACTACAAAAAGTAAAGTTTGATGCATGAACAGAGGTTTGGACTAGGAGTGTTGCTGAAGAGTTATTTAGGCATTGCTAGGTGGTTGCTAATATACTGTAATGATGGTTCTATGGTGCAAGATGCCTTATTATTTTCGGGTAGGTTAAGTTGCCACTATGTAGATTTTTCTATGTAGTGGTATTCTTGGTGACTTGACTGAATGATTACTAGGGTTTTCCAGTTGATTGTAATGGTGTTTGGGATAGTTAGAAGGGTATTTTTAGGCAATAGTTTTCCTTCAAAAATGTGACTCGTGCTGAGGTTTTTATATCGTTTTTCACCAAAGTGTTTTTTCCAAGGTCCGTAATGAACATTCAAACTCAAATTGTTTGGATATTTTGGGGATGGCTAAACCTTGGCAACCATTTCTAAGACAGAAATTGTTTCAGAGGTGTCCTGGATGATTGTTAGAGCATTACTGGATGTTTTCCAGGCAGTTGCTGGGGACTTCTGGGTGTTTTCTATGAGAATGGTTGTAGGTGGTTGCTTCGTGTCTGAATCAACATACCAACCATCTTCAACACTCATCGGAATAACCACGGTGGTTGCCAGGATGTTTGGATTCTCTATGTTTAGCACAATTAATTTCCTAATGAAACAGTTTAAGTCAGTTTATGATATGCAAATCTGAAAGCTCAATCATTATATATGTGCTACAGCCTCGCCCTACCTGGCAGGGTTAACGAAAGTGAAAAGTAATTTGTATATGCACCCTGTGATTTGGATTTTATCCAATATTTAATGGGTTTTTCCTTTGCCCATACTACTGAGTATTTTTTGTAATCCTGCTGACAGACAAACAAACAGCAGAAAAAACATAACCTCCTTGGTGGAAAATATATTCTGTTCAGTGGTTAAATTCACACTGGAAACTCATGTCTTTGCTAAATATAGGGGAAATTCCTCTAAAATATTGAGACTTCCTAGTTCTCTGAAGAATTACAGACCCGGTGTGATGAATCAAATCTCTTTACTTCATGCTGCATGGAGAGAAGATCTCAGCGTGGTTGTTCTCTGCCAGACTTTCAGAGTGAACACAAAAATCACACAGGCATCATCATATCAATACTCTGATTACTAACTCTACCATGTTTATTTCCCACATGGAACCCGTGGTTTGCCTTCTACAGACATTCAACTTTAAGCAAACTGCATTTTACAGTGTAAATGTAGGATCTATTCACTTGTATTATTTGCTGCCCACAAGGTTTCTCCAGCTTGGTGATTGCTTTCTCACTTACATCAACATTAAAAACCTCCAGGAGCTGGCTTATCTAACTGCACCACAGATCACATGAGACAGATTTGAATTTATTAAGTGCTTTCACAAATATTTCACAAAGAAGAATTTACTGAGGAAAAATTAAAACAAAGCAGACTGCCAATTTTAGGTTATGGGAACTTTGGGATTGTGTGTGTGTATGTGTGTGTGTGTGTGAGAGAGAGAGAGAGAGAGAGAGAGAGAGAGAGAGAGAGAGAGAGAGAGAGTGTTGCAGAGTGTCAGTGGATATTCTACTCCAGTCAAAATAATTACTCTCATGAAACGCTTTAATGAACCATGTGTTACAGTGCACCTCACAGGGCAACAAAAAGAAAGAAATAAGAGAAAGATTTAAACCAACAAATGAGGTGCAACAACATCCCTCTCCTCTGTCTTCCTCTCTAGCTCTGCTTTATGCCACCATCTTTGGAAACGTGACCACCATCTTCCAGCAGATGTACGCCAACACCAACCGCTACCACGAGATGCTCAACAACGTCAGGGACTTCCTGAAGCTCTACCAGGTTCCCAAGGGTCTGAGCGAGCGGGTGATGGACTACATCGTCTCCACCTGGTCCATGTCCAAAGGCATCGACACAGAGAAGGTGAGACTGAGAGGTTAAAGGTCAGGTTGAGCCGGTGCGAGATGTCATTGTCAACTGCTTCGTCAACACTGATTACAAAAAGTCCCATGTGTGGAAGCAAGATCTAGACGGAGACAGTGTTGGATGCAATAGACGTGCATACCACCGTACGAAAATATAATCTCACAAAACAATACAGCTGTGTCGAAAAGAAGCCAAGAACAACACCAGTGAGAAGAAACACTGTGACAAGAATAAAGGAGGAAATAATTACAAAACTAAACTAACAAAATGCCCGACAGCCAGTCACATACTGTTCTGACCTCGTTTACCCAAACTCACGCTGAGTGGTGGACTTCTGACCCTCTCCACCCACAGACATCAAACATAGACTGCAGTTATGTGAACACAGTTTAGATTCTTGTGCTGATGGTTACGTTTCGAAAGCTAAGCTCGAATACTGCTGCCGTATCACTTGAGAGCTTACATATAACTTTAATGTAATTAATTACAATTCTCTTAATAATTCTGTCAACATTAGTAAAATTTGAGTTCTTGTAGGGGGCATCCAGCTGCTGCAATTTTCAAGGTACAAGGTAGATTAATTTATAATTTTACAACAGGGTAGTGTCACAAGAGTAAGTTAAGTTCCCTTTATGCCCTCGTAAAAACAACCTCGGTTGTAATTCTGGCAGGTCAGAAATAATGGTCAGCTTTTCAATGAAATCCATTGTATTGTAAAGTGTAGTGAGCTCGTATTAATGCTCCTGAAGTATTACTTTTTGTTGTAACTGCTACAGTCTCGACTCTGGACTTTCAAGTAGAATTTCACAAAGTAACACTGCACATTTTTTTTGTCAACATGTTTGAGGCCATAACCATCATCTAGAATTGTCAGTGGATATTCTACTCCAGTCAAAATAATTACTTCCATGAAACGCTTTAATGAACCATGTGTTACAGTGCACCTCACAGGGCAACAAAAGAAAGAAAAAGAGAGGGAAACTGCAACTAATTTAAACATGTGGTTTGATTTAATGCAACATGCAAGAGCATAAAACTGTACGGTGCCTTCCCAGCATGCCCGTTTTTCAAAATATAAATATTGCTCAGAACTGAAGGAATAAAAGATTAAAAACGCACATTTACAGTATAGATTCCCTTGCTGTGCATTTATTAATGCACTGAGATGATTTATCTCTTCGGGATCTACTTCTTACATCAAAATGAGCTCTCATCTGCACCCGAGCACTACACAAACTCCTCACATGTGAAGTGCTGAAGCCATTTATGGGGCTATGCATCACCTGCAGCACAAGCAGCCGACAGTGCTGGGCTGAGATGACAGAAATAAGAATCTAATGAAAGCAAACACACTTGAGAAACAGCTTCCTCTCCGTGTATCAGACAGGTCTAATATTACCTAGGGACATGCCGTGATTTTTAAGAACTGTGGTAAACACTGATTATTGTAATCAAACATTGATCTGCCATGTAAAGTTAAGAGTCTGTCACAAATCACCTCTTCTAGTTTGGCAGACACAGATTTCCCTCTCTGACAGCACTCAAACCAAACGCTGTTCCTGCAGCCTTAAATTCTGTGATTCCTGTTTATTTTTATGTTCCCTCTGTCACCTCTGGAGGAACATTATGAATACAATTTCACTGGATTGGGAACTGGCCAATTGTTATTTATTATTATCAGCTTAGATGGCTGTAAGGAGCTTTGTGATGATTTTAGTCAGTTTTATCTTCTATAAAAAAGGCTCTGTGTTACTGCTGAGGTCATGGGGTTAATTCATTATTTCATATAATCTCCTCAAAAGATGATTTTCTGTTGTGTTTTAATGTTGCTGAGGCTTTTAGATGATTTACAGTCTTCCCCTTGGTCGATTTTGTTCATATTTAACAAGGTAGGATTATGGAGGACGAGATAATATTTAGTATTCGCTGTTTTACCTAAACGCTTCAGTTAATTAGGCAGGATTTCAGAATTTGTGAAAGCTGGACAAAACCATTACAATATACACAGACTCTAACCTGCAGCTAAACTGGGTGGTTTAAATGAGGAGGGAGACGATTCTTCCTTTGGAAGTTTGGGAAACTTCTCTCAGCTAAAGTGCTCTGAAACTGAGCCTTTCTGGGTTTTTCTGCTGCTGACCTCCTGAACCGCGACCCATCTAAATATCGTGGTGCTGGATTGCTATTGAACGGAAGAAGGATATTTTACCGACTCAAGCATTCAATTCATGACAGGAAGTGTTTTCCACCAAATTAGCTCTGTTTCTTCAACTGGTTCTTTTCAGGATTCTTGTAACCGTTTCTATCCAGCGATCCAGCCCTGTTTCCACCAGTTTTGAACAGAACCATTGTAATCAAGGCTGTTGCTGAACACGACCTGTAGGATAAGACACAACTACTTTGGATCCAACGAAAACCAGCTCAGTTCCAGCTGGTAACCAACTTTTTGGGCTCCGAACCAATTTTTTTGGGGGGGTCAAAATGCTCTAAACTGTTCAAAACTGAGCCGGTTCCCTGTTGGTGGAAAAGTGACTTCTAAGGCCCACTACCTGGTTGTCGTGCTGGATTTTGCAGACTCGGAAGAAAACAAGTAGAAAACAACACACAATAGTTCAGCCACAAGTTAGAAAAAGAATGAAATGCATCTTTTCCTGCTTGTTTCTACAACAATGACCTCGAGTGCACTCACAATAACAGTGCACACACCCGCAGAGGAGAAGGCGTTCAGTTTGGTGACGTTAGGCTCTATTACAGTCAGTATAACACATGTAAAACAGAGATAGTGAGCATTTATTACCCACCCACTGAGTGCAGCGCTGCTCAGCCAAAGGAACTCAGTGGTCGGAGGCAGTAATTGTCTCAGTATCTCCAGATACCAGGGGCAGCACTGAGGGATTTGTTTGCATTGATTATAATGCAGGCCACCCTCCATTTTTCATAGTAAATTGTGTTTCTTCTTACTCTTCTTCAGCCCAGTGGCATTTTTCTTCTACCTTTAAAACGTCAGCAGAAAGATTGCTTACCATCTGTGTTTGTATTTTCAACGTTCTTTCAGTAACAAAGTTTGAAGGTCCAACTTCTATCAGATATATTGGGTCAAGGCTGTGCTGCAGCTCACTCTGACCTCCCTGTACTTAATATGTTTTCTGGGGGGATATGTGGGATTCCAAAAGCCAAAAAACAGCTTTGCAGAGAGAACTGAATGAATAAAATACAATCCTAAACCTTCTAAACCTTCATCTCGCTGCCAACAGACCATCAAATAATGTTTGTGAATATTTTTTTGCTGGGTTGAAGCCTCAAAGGGAAACCTGGGCAGGAAGAACAGAATGAATTAATGGTCTCTTCTTTAGCAGTTGCCAAATGGAGGAATTTCTTTAAACAGCAGCTTTGACCCCCCCATGTCTCTCTGTCTTCCAGGTGTTATCCATCTGTCCCAAGGACATGCGGGCCGACATCTGTGTCCACCTCAACAGGAAGGTATGTATCTACGGTTTTCCAGTAGACACGCATTAGTTTTATCACAGCGCTTCACTCTGAAACAAGATGGATAGTGTGAGTTCTCTTTGTTGTCTGAAAGGCTTGATGTATGTAAATACTTTTAGAGCCACTATGTGTAGACCTTTATGTGATTATAGACTCCCCTGATGGCATACATTCATGTTTTTTATAGAAAAATGAGACACGAGATAAAGATAAAAATTGACATAAATTACTTTGAAATCCTACACGAGGGGTTTTAACAAAGTTGAAATAAAAACAATGTGCGACTATAAAACTGTGTCTTTGATAGGATGTGATACAAAATGCAAGTGCAACTACAAGCACTTGCGTGTGTGGCCTTGTTTGAAAGAACGTTCTCCAAACACCTGAATCTGCCACGAAACCCATATTAAACTATCCTCACACAACAACTGAGTGCCAGTCCTTGGGTGCATTTATTACATAACTAAATGCAGGCTAGCTGGAAGCGCAGTTAGAAGCTGCTGGGCATCACTTGACACGACTGATATGGGTCCCAGAACTTTGGCAGACTCGAATTACTGAACTGGCATTGAACAAAGGACACCTTCACTTGTGTAACCACCACCTCCAATGACAAGTACTAGTCACTAAAATTAGTCTTGTCATTCAGAGTGGACACTTACGGTGCCTCTCTCTTTCAAAAAGGAAATATATTATACTTAAACAAGGGCATTTAAAGCTGACTTAGACGTCTTTTAAGGGTTCTAGGTTAAGGTGATGGTGCTTTTAAGCAGCATGGACTTGAACTGATTTTCAACCTGAATTTATGTCCATGCAATTTGATTGTTTCCTCTTGCAAGAATACACCGTTCCTCACAATCGAACATAAATGAGGTTGCTTTTGCAAATAAAGCTGATCAGAAAATTAGAAATAAAAAGAGAGAGAAAAATGTAGCAAAAAATGCAAATGTGGTGCTCATTAAACCCCATAGTCCAACGAAAGTAATTAAGAAGACAGTACGTGGTAAAACTAAATAAGTTAGTTTAGTCAAGTTTAGTAAACACTGTTAAAATTTGCAGATTTCCTAAATATACAAACCCCAAATTAATGAACACAACATATTCATAAGTTACAAAGTAGAAGTCAGTAAAAATAAAACTCCTGCTACTGTTGGAGATATGCCCGGCTTTGTCTTTTGCTCCCGATATGCTTCTAGTGTCAGTTAATGACTGAATGTGAAAGTAAGCTCTCCATCCAAAGAAAACTGGCCTCACAAACCGTCTTTAGCATTTTCTTCCCCCCTTTGATGTAAAGCCTCACAAACCAGCCATGTTCATAAACACGGCGTGTGCAGTTTAACAATGTCACATTAGAGGATTTGGGGCTTTTGTAGTCCTCAGACTTCAAACACTTCAGTCACTTTGTGCTGCAGTTTAGGACTGCTGACAGAGGGCCAACTGCTGTCCCCACTAAACAAAAGTCCTAACTCAAAGGACACAGTTGTGACAGTCTGGCGACATTGTTATGAGGGATTATTTCCTGATCATTATTTCTGAGAGCTTCAGGTGATTGACAAGAAGCACTGACATTAAAACACTCAACTCATCTCATTGAAAGAAGGAATAGACCTAATGAAGGCTTCACTGTGACTGTTAGAGATTCTCTCACTGTGTGGAAGCTGTTTTTCATTTCTGGATGGATATCAGCAAATGACTAGTTCTGCAGAGGTGAGAGAAGTTAGAGGAAGACCTGTATGAAGAAAAGACAACATACTTTAATTTACAGTTGAAAAAGCAGTTTCATACTGAGGATTTTATTTATAATAATAATAATAATAATACATTTTATTTATAAGCGCTTTTATAAATACTCAAAGACACTTTACATAAAAACATAAAAGCAGCAAAACAACATCAAATAGTAAAACATTAAAAACACATCAGACTAAGCTAAACATTAAAAGCAATTTTAAAAAGGTGTGTTTTTGTCAGTGATTTGAATGTTGGAAGGTCGGTACAGTCACGGATGTGTTTGGGGAGAGAGTTCCAGAGGGAGGGGGCAGCTACAGAGAACGCTCTGTCGCCCTAGGTTCGGTGCTTGGTCCGGGGTGGAGGAGTCGGGAGGTTTGCTTCAGATGAGCGAAGGCTACGGGATGGATTGTGGCGATGGAGCAGGTCAGTGAGGTAGGAAGGAGCTTGGTTATGGAGGGCTTTGTGTGTAAGGAGGAGGATTTTGAACTGAATGCGCTGTGGAACTGGGAGCCAATGGAGGTTCTGGAGGACGGGAGTGATGTGATCACGGGTGCGGGTGTGGGTGAGCATACGTGCAGCGGAGTTTTGGATGTACTGTAGCTTATTTAGAGTTTTGGATGGTGTGCCATAGAGGATGCTGTTGCAGTAGTCGATTCTGGAGGTGATGAAGGCGTGGATGAGGGTTTCAGCAGCAGAGAAGGAGAGTGATGGGGAAGACGGGCAATGTTCTTGAGATGAAATAAGGGCAGTTCTGGTGATTTGGTTTATGTGATGTTCAAAGGAGAGGTTATTGTCAAAGATGACTCCGAGGTTGCGACTGTGGGGGGATGGAGACAGGGTGGAGCTGTCAATGGTGAGGTGGAAACTGTCTGTGGTTTTGGTGAGGGATTTGGGGCCGATAATGATAAGGTCTGATAGAAGGTCCAGTGTGGATTTAGTGGCATCTCACTTGCTTCACCTTCCCTTTCCTTTCATGACTATGTCCCTCGAACTTGTTGAAATATCTTGCTCTCTATTTGATGGACAAAGCTGTTAAATTCATGCCAATGCAAAACCACTTAATAGTCTAACTTTTTGGGGAGCTGAATATATTTCTGGTAAAGAGGTGTCTGTGTTTTAAAGTTGTAGGTTAGCTGTAATCTGAATAAGTCAGATTTTTATCAGGTTATATTTTCCTTTTTTAACATGGGGCATAAATAAATAAATAAATGAGGCACAGAATACAACAAAAATCTCAACATATCATTCCTGTACCCCCGCCTACAAAAACCCTCTGAGTCATCTCCACCAAAGACAGAAATAATACAAAATGTTGATAATGCAACCCAACAGCCAATCCACGAGAGGATATGGTGTCACGCTTTCACTTGCCTGTATGAAGGTGCAGTATGAAGGGTTTGGGTCAAACAAACACATCATTTTCAGCCAGGAGACTGCTGTTCCAGTCCCGTGTTGACTTGTTAGTTATGTAACATACTTAAAATAGCATAACTTGCAGCTTTCTTCAACTTAACCATTCTGTTGCCTAAAACTAACCAAACTGCGACCTCAGCAAGCTTTATTTTAAAAGTTGAAAATTACACACTTTCATCACAGCAAGATGAAAAACCATTAGTAGGTCAATAAAAAGTTAAAATAATTTGAAATTTGAGGTTTAAGATTCAAACAATCCACAACTTTCAAGGTAAAATTGCTGCAAAAGATCAATCATTGCTTTCTCCACTGGAAAAACCAACCAGCAATAACCAATTCTCACTGTGGTCACGTGTAGGAAGACTTAGACTGTGGTTAGGGTGTTAGACTGTGAGGGTTAGGGTTAGGATGTTAGACTGTGAGGGTTAGGGGTTAGGGTTAGGGTGTTAGACTGTGAGGGTTAGGGGCTAGGGTTAGGGTGTTAGACTGTGAGGGTTAGGGGCTAGGGTTAGGGTGTTAGACTGTGAGGGTTAGGGGTTAGGGACTGTTATTGTAGCAACAGATAATAACCATCAACTTCCTGCCCTCGTACTCAGGTGTTCAACGAACATCCTGCATTCCGGTTAGCCAGTGACGGCTGCCTGCGCTCGCTGGCGGTGGAGTTTCAGACCACTCACTGCGCCCCCGGAGACCTGATCTTCCACGCCGGAGAGAGCGTCGACACCCTGTGTTTCGTTGTGTCGGGGTCACTGGAGGTCATCCAGGACGACGAGGTCATCGCCATCTTAGGTATGTGGTCATGAGAAGGTGTTGTCATTGTATATGTTGCCGATCTCTAAAATGTGATTGCAAATTTGGGGTTCTGGACATTTGCAACAATCCTGCACACTTGTGATTTTTATTGACAAAAGCAATTAGTTGCAGCCGAAGTGTGGATTTAACTCTGTTTGGAGGAAGAAATCAACCCTCTTTTCAATACTAACTGTTGTTAATCATGCAACATTAAAACATCCATGTGAAAATTCATGTAAGTCAAAAGAAAGAAGGAGAATCATTCTGGACAAGAGAAATAGAAGTACATTTCAAATAATCAGTGAATCAGTGATTCTTTTGTGTCTCAGGCAGCTGGTGTCAAAAAGAAGACAGAACATTAGATGAATGAAATGAATAAGAGAAACAAATAAACAAATACAACATCCTTTGGGTTTGGAGCTGTTGGAGAGAAGATCATCCCGCTGACACTCTGATGTGTTTTATTTTTAGAAGGCAAGAATACCTGGCTTGTTTTGGGGGTTTTTTGGTCAATGGTGAGACAATTTTGACCTTTCCCAGCAGATCAGAACAGTCTCTTCACACATACAGAAAACCACGTAATCCTTCAGCTGAAGTGAAATGTGAATGACGACAGCGACATACTTAGGTTATTTTTATACAATGTAAAATACACACACTGCTCACACCGAAAGCAAAGGGACGCACTTGATAGCTGAGTCATTTAATTGTTACATTTAAAGACAGCAGTAAGCTGACGTTGTTTCTGGCTTTCAAACCTCATAACTGCTGCTGTACATATTGCTCTCTGCAGCCAAGTGCTGTAATATTCATGAGGAGGAGAAGAACGAGGGAACTGGAAAGGAAAAATAAGACACTAACAGAGATGACGTTGGATGGGAGGAAGACAAGCACTGATAGCATTGATGGCAAAAATGGCTGCAGCATCCAGTGTAGTGCACATTCTCATAACCATCAGTTGGCCCCAGATGAGTGTTTACTGACAGCGAATAACAAGGAGGAGAGCTATTACAACGGAAGAAGAATGAATGCAAAGCTGCACAGCAAATTGTTTGCTGCGCTCATTTGGTGTGTAGATGTTTCTCTCGTACTCTCACACACACAAACTACTAACCAACAAACAAATGAGTCAGTCTGACAGTCCCTGTTGAGATTTAAAACTTAAGCACTGACTGTTGGAGCTTACTAGCTTATGGCGGGACAGTCGTGTTAAAAACATTATTCAGGGTTGGTTGGTTAAAGCAGCCATTCATCTAGAGTAATGAATCCTGGTTGAAAAACTGAAGTCTAAAAGCAAACATTAATTACGAATTGCATTCTGTCTATATCTGTCTTATTGGTTCTACCGGTTACGTAAGGGATAATGCTTGACAAGGTGTCCATTATCAGGAATTAATTTACTCTGCTAAGTCCATTAACTCCCGATTATGGACAAGGGCATTATCCCGCTTATACCACGGTCCCTTGCCAAAGAAAAAAACACAAGATCATTATTTTAAATTTTCATGCGTTTTTCAATCAAAATCTAAAGATTTCATAACTCTGTTCACCTGGTGACACCTGAGGTCCTTCCTAATACCTGGAAGAATCATTACCATCCCATAATGTTCTAATGCAATGGAAACATTCACTAATCCAGTAAATAGGACGGAACATATATATATATATATATATATAATATATAAAAAAAACGGGAGACGGTTCTCCCACTTATGTAACGAGACAGAGAGCTAATGCTATGCTAGCAGGATTCAAAGTCAATAAAACTGCATACAGTCGACAAACAGTAATATATTGACAGTATGTTAAACAACAAGACGAGCTAGCTATCAGCTGTGTCATTGTCTCCAAATCAATATCAAAATTGGACCATAGTTATAAATCTTAATAGCGCACAACTACACTTCATGCAGAAGGTCAAAGTTCTGCTCTAACTGATGGTCAGAGCTACAAAAACTAAATCCTACTTTGTATTAATTTCTAATCCTTGAATCTAGAATCTAGCAGAGGTATCCTGTTCAATGTTTCTCTCTTAAAGACATTCTCTGTATCCACATCACCCTGATATATCATTGTATTATAAAGATGTTCTACTGAGCATGGAAGCAAGCAAGTGCAGAGCGACATGATCATCCCATTGCGCTGGCGTTAGTCTGATATTCATCCTTCCTTTAGCTCTGGTTTGGTCTCCACCGACACTCTTCAGCTCCTAAATGCTCCACTTTCTTCACCAGCCAGTCTCTAACTGTGTCTGCTGGTTGGTGCTGAGCAGGCAGTGTGCGGTGGGTTTATCAGAGCTTGTTTGGTGAAAACAGCTGTACCTGTACTGTAAACCCAAAAAAGAGGCTCAGAGTTGGTGATAATTCTTTTAAGGCTTTGTTTTCTAGTTTAAAAATATATATGGTTTTAAAACCTGCTTGTATCAGCGTGTTCTTCCTCTCCTTGTTTATTACAGCAGTTGACTGAAATATTAGTTTTAATTGGTAAAAAAAAAAGACAAAACCATGAAGACATTACAAATATATACATATTTTTGCAGATAAGGCCATATAATCTATAATAAATCAGTGTTACATTATCATAGACGATAGCCACAGAAACAGCTGTAACCCCAGACTGTAGCGAGATTGTGATGTGTGCTGCTGAGTTGCTGGCATGCAAGTTAGTGATCCATTATGTTAGAGCTGTAGATCCTCTGCAGCAGATAGTGGGAATCTGTTGCAGCTGCAAAATAAAAACTTGCACTATGTGAGAGAAAGAAGAGGATAAAGTGTGGAAAAAATAGCAAAGAGATGATGTGAAGATATGTACCAGACAAAACATAAAAGAGGGAGAGAGATGGGAAGGAAGGAAGAGAAGAGACAGTGCATAGTAAAAGCATGACAGGGTGTTTGTGTTGCTTCCTCACTTCCTGAACTTCATTAGGAGGTGGAGTCGGACGGGGCAGCTTCATAAAGAGAATATTGGATGATAAATTGCTGCATCGCAGTGATCAATCAATCACCTAGCTGTCATCGGGAGCTGCTGTTGCTACGGAGGGATGGATCGGGTCAGAAGAAGAATATATTCTCAACATGTCTGCTGTTGTTTTCCTCTTCTTTCTGATGTTTCCTCCTCACGTTTTGAATTAGTTGAGCTTTTAGAATTGTCAGAGCTCAGCGTCACACAGAGAGTAGAAGGAAGGTGAGGAAGCTTGTGTTGAGGAGCATCAGTGGGAACATCTGGACCCCGTTCACCAAAGCTGAGACTCACTTTTGTCATTTTTAAAACTTCACAAATATCTGCTTTGTTTGCAGAAATATATTGGAAACTGCATCAAAGATAAGTGGCAGACAGTAAAGTAAGCAGAGCGATCGATAACGTCTCTGGTAGTTTTTTTGCTTTGGTCAACTACTTCCTTTCTTGGATTTCTAGATTGGCGAGTACCCGTTGCCTTCGTTGGGTCGGTTAGGTTGGTTTAGGTATGAGGAGTGAGATTGGTCAGGGTCAATCAGAGGCAGAGTGGGGCAGGTCATGACTTGAAAATTCTGACTAAATATATTAATGATAATATATCGTCGTCAACAAACCTTAATCACGTGACGAAAACGAGACGAGACGCAACGTAAATGGTGGTCATGTGACGGAAACTATAATCAAATATATAATGCAATATTGTTGACGAATAAAAATGGGACTAAATGTGGTTTGCAAAATAAAAACCGCTAAAATATCTCTTCATTTTCGTTGACCAAAACGAGACGAGACGAAATGTAATAACGTTATTTCGTCTCGCTATTATTATTATTTTGCAATATTTCTGTTTCCTGAGTCTCGGGGCTGCATCAGCACACTGCCAACGTCCCCCCCCCCTTTTTTTTTTTTTAAAATGTTTTTGGGGTGTTTTTTTTTAAAAAAAAAAAAAAAAAAAAAATTTATTTTTGAAAAAAAAAAAAAAAAAATTAAATTTTATTTTTTTTTTTTTTTTTTTTTTTTTTTTTTTTTTAATTTTTTGTGTGTGTTCTTCTTAAATGTTTGGTGGGTAAAATAAATATGTTGTAAATTCATTTCAGAGTGTCTTCCGTGTTTGGAATTGAATGTATTCTTGAGTCTATAAGGTAACAATAATATAATAATAAGTTAACCTTGTTTGACTTGTGAAATGGGTGACTTAAAGAACATTTTGGTTTTGTCTATACTATACTAGGTACTACTGGGTTAAATAGAATTGCATTACTAAAAAGAGACTAAAATACAATTTTCATTGACTAAAACTAGACTAAAATGTCATCAGTTTTCGTCGACTAAAACTAGACAAAAATAGTCATGGATAATTCTGACTAAAATAAGACTAAAATGCTCAGACTTTTAGTCGACTAAAACTTGACTAGACTAAAAAGAGTATAAATGTGACTAAAACTAATACAGTTTGACACAAAGACTAGACTAAAACTAAAATTAAAACAGGCTGCCAAAAACAACATTACTTGACACCATCCTGGGAAAAGAAGAATGGCTTCGTGTTCTTAGATATGCTATCATTCAAGGACCCTTTGGGGTCCACAGACTTCGTTTTGGGTAACGACTTAACTCCCTAACTCCCTAATTGGATAGATTGCAAGTTGTTGTCAAACTTTGCATCGCATAGCAACCGGAAACCTGCTCCAGTCCTTAACAACAATGCTTACAGCTGCAGTTTGAACGGGAGAACAAAGCTGCTGTCTGATCGCAGCATCAAGAGGGAGAAAAAGATGGCGGGTAGATGGAGGGAGAAGGACGAGGAGGTGGAAGGAGAAGAGTTGGAAAGAGGGAGAGGAATAGATTGAAGGTTGAAGGAAACAGTGGGTGTAAGGGGAAGTCAGATAAGGGGTTTGTCTTCACAGCATTAAAAGGAGGCTTCGTTCTAAAATATCAGTTCCCTCTTGAAAGTTCTCCTTTTCCTCGCGACAGCCGTCCTGTTCTTTGCCAACTGCCTTTTTTCTGCTGTGCTGAGAAGGAAAAGGAAGTTCTGCCAGCAG